ACCAATTTCCGGGCTCAATTCACCAACCATTCGAACACCTACATTGAACAACCATTCTCCTAGGCTACAACTACCCAAATCGGTTGCTTCCAAGGTGCCACAAAGGGGCCGAGTGTGAGTGATGTTTTGGCAGCCCAAACTAGCCACTAAGGCTAAGTGAAGAGGATGAGAAGGTAGCACAAAGCAAGATGAAGCACAAAGCAAGAACTCTCTATTCTCTCCTCAAACTCACGACTCCAAGATTCACATTAGGACAAGACCAGAAAAACGACCCACTTATATGCCAAATAAGTGGTCTTTTAGGTCAAAGATAAATGGCCCAATAAGTAACAATGAATGGGCCTCCAACTATAAAAGCCATTCAAGGTATTTGGGTTGGGCCATCAGTAACTTTAATTAATTAGCCTGCTTCCAATGGCCCACTTATGTTGTCGGAGTGGTCCGTTCATTGTGTGTCGACATTTCATTTCAATCATCGGCCAAGGCCTATGAAGTCTAATCCAAACTATAAAACCGGTTTAACATCATCGTCCGGATTTATTAGGTATCAAAACCCAACAAAGACACTGCGACCTTTTGCTAATGATAGTAAGAAACAATTATGCACAATGTTTCTGTATAGGATTTTCTCATTGAACTCCCACTCATTTAGTCTTTATAGCCGGGTCAACGAGGGCATCGTTGCAAAGCTTGGCCCACTCTTTAAAGCCACAAGCTCTGAAGTTTCCAGATACCTGTTAAAGATAGGTTTAAGGGAGGGTTTTCTTCCCGACATTTTTCCTGTGTATTTTCCAAGGTCTGTTAATCTTTCGCTGCAATAATTTTAGTTGTTGATATTGAAAATGTGGTGTTGCTTCAAGTAGTACTACGTTTGTGTTATTAGGTTTTCATTTCTCTCGTCTTTTCTTCGGAAAAAAAATGTCTACTTTTCATCAAAAAGTTCTATTATTATTGTTTTTCTGTTGAGGAGTAAAAAATGAGAGAGTCAAAAATCATTGAAGAAATGGACTTAAGAGAATATGCCTATTATAATTTGAACAACATAAGGGTGGAAACATCGCTATATGAGATATAAATATCTTATCTTCATTATAAAAATAGATTGCATTTGCAAGAGAGTGCATAAAAACAGTACATTGTTGTTTTAGAAAGAACTACAAAGAGAACTAGTTGCTAATTTCTTTTCCAAATGCAATGGGATGCTAATTTCTCTATTTTTCCATATGCAAAACACCATATAGGTAATTAATCGTGCTCATTCTTTTTTCTTTCTTTCCTTTTGTGATTTGCGCAGAACTCTACAGGGATTGTCTTCTCTCCGCAAACTCATTCTCCCATAGCTATGAACATTGTACTAGAAGATTTCAGACACGCAGAAGTCAGTAGGGCCAACTGTTGATCCGGAAGGACATGAAAGTTCCAACTCGAAGAACAATTTGGATGAAAGTAAACTTGTCACGAGTTCAATCGGTGATGAGAACGCAGCTAAACACAGTGAAATCTGACTTGAAGGTATCTGAAAGACACGATCTTGCCATGATTTTTACGTGCGAAGTTTGTGATACCAGTTCTGTGAAGACAGTTTGTTGTGAATCGTATGATAAAGGCGTCGTGGTAGTTAGATGTGATGGATGTAACAATCTGCACCCGATCGTTGATCAATTGAGGTGGTTCGAAGAACCTGATAGCGCTGAGGAGTTTTTGGCTGCTTGTGGGGAAGAGTGAAGAAGGGATCCGTTGATACTTATCTAACTCTCGAGGATCTTGCAGGTAAGAAGAATCTTGACCTACAAGACGTTTTAAAGTCTTAAATATGAAAAGAATAGATAACTTACTCGGCCAGCAATCCTTTAATGGGTTGGACTACAAAGCAAATTAAATAAATATTGAAAATAATGAACTAAAAAACATTTAAGTGTCGTTTTGACTTAACAAACGAATTCAAACATCCAAAATCCATCATACGTTATGGCAAAACCGTGAGTTCAATGGAAATCGTCCCGAGCGAGCTTTCTGGAATGAGGTCATGGGTCCAAAACGGCACTGTATGCAACAGTTATGTCATTTTCTTCAAACACCAACTATTCAAACGTTCCAAATACATAAGTGCCTCTTCCTCCACACTAACCTCATCACTTTCCCTTAGTTTTTCGTACAAAAAGAATCGATATCAATTTACAGGAAAATACATTGATTCGAATAAGGGCTCATTTAGATCCCAGGAACAAAACAATCTGTTTAGTGTAATTAATTAACTCAAGTCATTACCGTACATTGGCTAAGAATCTGATCACCATTCCATGTTAAGCAATGTTAGAAGATTATGCTATTGCACAGTGAAACGAAGTGCCAATAGAATGAAGGTTGAATTCACTTCTTTCATAAAGTCAACATACCAAAGACAGCTAGAGCCCGACAATCTGCACCTACAAGCATCAGAAAGGATACTGGGAGGTGATTGGATGGTGCTGGTGGTGGTTGAGATTTTTTTTTTAATTGTTTAATTGGGATTTCTTTGTACTCATTCCTTTAGAGAGAAGAAGTACAAATATGTTGTATTTGTACAAAGTTCAACTAATTTAGAAGGGTTTTGTACCATAATGAAGGTTAGGGAAGTGTTTTTTAACTGTACCAATTACCCAAAATATTAATGACGTGTTTATTATGATATAAGTTAGATAGTATTTACCATTATCAATATTATGTATCAAATATATGAGTATATGACACAAAAACACACATCAAAGACAGTGATTGTGTTTTTTTTTTCCTCAAAGAGACGGACTTGTCAGCTTGTTCAACCGAGAAACTCAACCATTGAGGTAAAAGCAATTTGATTATATACATAATGAACTCAGAAGTTACGCATCTCTAGAGGAGAGGTCTGGTATGTTTCGTACACAATTATGGACAACATTGGACAGATGTCTAGTTTAATACAAGTCAACTTTCTTCTCCTTTCTTTTTTAAATCCTATTCACCACCTCCCAATACAGCATGTCGAACATGTCTAATTTTTACTGTCATCTAATACAAACTCACCGGCAAACCTATAAGAATCATGCCTTCTCAAGTAATGTACACCTCTCAAAACTAAAGTGCTTCATGCATCAAAAAGTCGAACGCAAGCTAAACACATGTTGAACTCACTTCTTTTGGAAAGTCAACATACCAACGAAAGCTATAGCACGGCAACCTACACCAGCAAGGATTAGCAGAGCTATACGAAGCCCCCAATCGTGTACATTATACCCGTATTTCTGGAGTGCACCACAACGCGTAATGAGCCACACGCCATAGTACCTGAAGCAAAAAATCTAATCACTAAATCGGGTTGTCCGACATCAACAATCCAAATTGACATTGTTTTCAAGTTATTTATAACCGAAGATTGAAAAATAAAGCCGTGTTTTCCCAATTGTGAAGTTCAGTAAATTTATAGAGTACAGTCGGATACAACAAGACAACTATCAATGAGATATTTCTTCTTTTTCTTCCTTACTAGTTAGTGCTATCTAATCCACTCTACCAAACATACAATAAGATTTTATTCCTTCCCATACTCACAAGGGAAGAACTTGAGCACAGCAATATGCATGCGAATCTTAGGCACGTGATCTATGTTCGAATAAACGGAGATTACTTTCGATAAGTTTGGAAGGTGATCTAGCACAAAGTGAAATTCCATCCTTATTTCTTTTTCATGCAGTCATTTTGCTTGCAAAATCAAGGTCGATTGTAAGATTTCAATTTCAATTTCAATGTTATGTTGGTGAACCAAGAGCTTAAAATATTTCCTAGCACAACAGGTACACGTGCACCAGTATCCAAACTTATCCAATAATGAGAAGATGCAGGTCGGTTTTTCAAGCTATAGATGTGGTTTTACTTGGTCACGGGAACTTTTCTTTTTATTCTATTTTGAATTAGTCACTAACTTTCATTTTTATTTCAGTTTGTGTACTCCATCTATAGAAAATAACAGTCTCGACTTGTATGAAACAAATAATGACATGGCTTTAAAGGTCTGTTAATGCATTTGGTTTTCTCGTTCAGATTGCCACAAAACTCTTATTCTTTTAAAATTATGTTGTTAAATATATTATATTTGTAAGGAATAAACACCAAAACTAGTGCATTAATGTGCGTTTTAAGCCACTCCATTTCCATAGTACAAGTCAGCAATTCTGTTACATCAAAAGGATAGAGGTAGACATAGTGTCTAAAGCGAAACAAAAAAAAGAAGTTCCAAGAACAAAGTGGAATGACACTAAGTTCGGTGACTAACAGCATTTTTAAACCTTGTAGATGTTCCCATGTTTATAATAGTATGAATCACAAGAACCTCCTACAAGAGTGTTGAATGTGTGTGCAAGAGATGCTCTAGGAACTTACCTCTCTGCATTTGCAATAACAAATGCTTCTAAGGCCCACTTTGGATAGCACAAGTTCCCTATAATCTTCACATATTCCGTAGCATTCATCTGAGTTGCAATGAGAGTCAAAACCACGGGCAGTAGTACCGAGCACTGCACAAAGTGAAAGTAGACAGTGAGATACATCATACTTACATGAGCTCAAACCGATAGTAGCTATTCAAAAGGAGAATTAGTTACCAGCTGGGATGGACCCGGATCAAGAAAGATGGCCAAAACATAAGCTACACCGGTCACACAATATACGAGACAGAGCAAGACGACATAATTAGCTGCAAAGGAAGATCTTGGGTTGCTGAAGAAATAAAACATCGACAAATACACCACAGGCTTTATCACTGTATTGAAGTGGTCAATTGTGTCCTTGGAAACAAAATGTGCCAGACTGCTAATGCCAGAAGCACTCTCTCTCCAATATTGTAACTTGTCGAGAGAAAATGACCTTAAAGCTGCAATCTTGCACAACAGAGCTGAAATTGGAGAAAGAAATATGACAGGATTAAAACAAGTGGAATAGGAATGAATCAGAACAAGTCCCTCTATCTGTCAAACGAGACAGAAGAACCATAGAGAAAAAAATATAAAACTATTTAAGCACAAAGAAAAGGCATATAAAAAATAAGTCATGTCTTAATGAGTTATTTAAGTCAGTATGCAACATTCTTCTAGCTTGCTTCCTTATCGTAAAGAAATTAAATAATTTAACACAAATTGGAATTTCTTAAATAAGGAATTTGAAAATTTCATGAACTTACAGACAGCAATAATTGTGTACGTGTAAGCAGCATAACCAAAGGTTGCATCACTCGCTTTGGTAAGTGATCCCAAGCTCGCGCCAGCAAGTAAAAGAATAAGATAATCTATTACTTGCACTCTAGCTTCACGTAATCGTTGTTTACCCACCCTGAGATAAAGATTGTCATAAGCACAGAGAAGATCAGAAAGGAATCTTAATGAATGATAAAATAACCAATCAAAAATCACTGAGTTGTTTTGTGAACTCAAAAGAGAGTACTTGGGTTGAGAATGCAGTTAACCAACGTGTTAACTAATCAATTAAATAAATTGGATATGATTTTGCTTCATACTTAATGGTTAGGTCCGAGTTCTACTATGGAACTCATAATCCAGGA